GGGGGGGGGGGGGGGGGGGGGGTATCTTAAGCAACCTACGGTATCCCGTTCGCTTCGTCTCGGACCACCGTACCCAGGATACTATTGTTCATTTATGAAGTTGGGAGGGGGGGTTCGTATCCCTATCCCTAACCCCCAACCCTCAACCCGTACCCCCTGCTAAAATCAAGATAAATATCCTCGCGAAGGCTACAGTAGTTCGTCTCGAATTATTGAGGTCTTACCGCCGGTGGCGCTACCACTACCGCGGTGCCGCAGCACGGAAGCCTCGTCGCAAGACGCCAGGCTCCCGTCGCGACGCAACAGGCCTCCTGCCCCGGTAGCCGGTACACGCCGTACTGGTCGCACGCCGCCGCCGCCGCCGCCGCCGCCGCCGCTCCCCCTCACGCCAGCGTCGTCGTCGTCGTCGTCATCGTTGCTAGAGATGCCGCTCCGCAAGGCTGCCCAAAGAGACATTGGCGGGCCCTGGGGGACAGGGCCGGGGTGGGCGGTAGAGAAAAAAAATTGGGGATGAGATAGTGTGTCGACATCTGTCACAAAGCAGGCCAAAGTGGTGCTACTTTCCGTTCGGGCGAGATAACGTGAAATACAGCAAGCAGGCAGGACACAGCTGGTCTCCCATCACAATGTATCTCCACCTCTCGCCCCTTGCTCTCTCTCTGTAATGCTCTCTCCCTCCCCCTCTTCCTCTGGTTTTAGTCAATCTGAACCTTCGAACGAAACAACAAATGTGGTTCCTCAGCCTCGCTGCTTTGCCCGACCCCACCTCCAACCCCCGCACGTGGCCGCACAAGCACCCACTCCCACGCCGGAGCTCGTTGGCGCAATACTGCAGACCGCCAAAAATGAGCGGCCACGGTACAACTGCCGCAGACTGCACAAAAAACGAAATGGTCTCGGTACATGCCACAAACAAAAACCTCGCCGCCCCACTCACCTACCTCTTCCTCGCTGCCGTCCTCCTCGCCCAACGACGGGGCCGTCGCCGCAACCGCCGCCGCCGACGGCCCGGCGACGCTTCCTTCTTGCGCCCTCCCAGTCTCCGCGGCGGTGAGAGCGGCGGCGCGCAGGTACCCCACCAGCAGCGACGCCTCCTGGCCCGACAGAACGGCTCCTCCACCCGACTGGTGCTGGTGCTGGTGCTGGTGCTGGTGCTGGTGCTGGTGCTGGTGGGGCTTGCCTCGAGATTCGTCGCCTCCCGTTTCCCCTGGCGTCTGCTTCTCGGAGCCGGCGCTTGCTGCGTCCCGGCCGAGAACGTTTTCGACAGCTTCTTTTCCGACGGTGCCTCCGCCGCTGGTCTTGTCGACACTGCCGTTCGTCTGTTTCTCTTCCTTGTAACCGTTTTTCGTCGAGGAGTTCACGCCGGTGGTGCTGTTTTGCCCAAGGATGGTCGCTGCAACCGGCTGTTGGTCTTTACATGCCAACAGAAGCGCTCCGCCGGCTAGAGTCACAGCTAAGTCTACCTCGACGTCGATGCCACCGCTGAGAAGGAGGAAGCGGATCCGTTGCCGCACGCGGCGTTGGATGCGAAGGCCCAGGTGCCACCGGTAAGGGTCCTGGCGAGCACCAAGGGAGCGGAGGCAAAAAAAATGAACAAAGACACACGCACGGCATCCGGTCTTGGGCTGTCGTCCCAGTCATAACAAGGATGCGACAAGATCACTCAGGGCACAACTCCCAACACAATGTAGATTGGACTTCTTTCGGGCTTGGGTAGGACAAGGGTTAACAATAGCAACCCTAGGGTCAACGTTATTCCTAACAAACCAATACGTCCGAGCTTCCGAGCCAGTAGATGCGGTTTCTTTCGGGTATAATAAGGCTTAACACAAACAACCCTAGGGGTAACGCCAAACCTAACGAACCAACCCGAATGGACCTCCTATCTAGACCTAAGCTTGGGTACCGTTCGAGGATACAGCATCCTTCTTCTTCTCCTCTTTTCGTCTCCCCGCTTCTGCTTCTTGGATCCAACACAGGCTCCTCTTGCCGCTCTGCCTTTCGTACAGGCATGTTAGCAAGTCTACGGCCTACCGACTTTGTGCGGCATGTATGGCCACGGGCACACCTTCCCCATCTCCCTCGACGTGTCAAAAAACCGCAAATCGACAAAAGGTCGCATGGGAAACGCAAAAAAATCCATAACAATACAGTACAAAAGGAAGGCGCGATGTACCATTGGCAGCGATTGGGGATATCCCATGTCAAGGTGGAAGTGGGGCTCCGCTAGGCCCGCTCCCGGGAGATAGCTCGAGAAGAAGTCTTCCAAGCTTTCCTGCGATGCCGCCGCGCGTCGATCAGAGCGGCAAGTGGAGGTGCTTTCTTGTCGCTGCTGTTGTCGTTGTTTTTGTTGTTGGTTTGTTGTCAGTTGTGGCGACCGTCGTTGCTGGGATCTTAGGAGCAAGGGTAGGGTTAGGAGCCTCGCTACGGGGGGCGGTCACATTGGGGCCACCCGCCCGTAACACTCTTCTGACGAAGCCTTCTTTGTCTCCGATTTGTGCGTTAGCTCGCATGGTGCTGGTTCTTCTTGCTTTCTGGCGTTAGCGGGTCGTGGCAACGATGAAACGAGCGGTTCGTGTGTGTGTGTGTGTGTGTGTGTGTGTGTGTGCCGCGAGTGCCGGCCTTTGTTTCGCTTCCAATCGCGTTGGTCCGTTCGTTGAGGATGCCGCTACTGTCGTCATGTTAAGATGAAATGTCCATATCCGCATCGTTCATAGTTAGGGATTGGAAGTGGTGGTTGCAAGCGAGGACGACGCCATGTGCGTGTTGCATGTGTTCTTTACCTTTTCGGCACACATTCGACACATTGGCCGGTGCCACACAGGCAGAAGGTATAGGACAAAGCAGCAGTGAAAATATACTTTACGGTTTTATTGTCCCATCTTCCCTAAGAGTGCTCGCCTTCGACTCCTAACGCGAGAAGGGTTCACAGTTGTCCCTTCCCTCTTGTTGTGCATCCTAATATTCCAAAACAAGAAAAAAAATCGGTGCGCTGCAGCGACTCAACACTCGAACACAGATGCTAATGCACTTCGCTCTCTTGATTATACCTCGCTCTTACCCTTAGAACCTCAGCTGGGGAGGCTCGCAGTAAAACCGCCACCTCCCGCTCCTCCAGCCTGACGCGGCTTTCTAGCAACTCCTTGCGGAGCAATTCCACGGAGCCCCCCTCCTCTCCGATCCCTCCCGCCTCCCCTGAACAAGCGGCGTGTTCTGCCAGATCCAGCGCCTGGCAAGCCACCCAACCAAGGGAGTTTACAGACGGGGGCACAAGGCGCGGTTGCTGTTGCAGTTGTTGTTGTTGGCATTTCAAAGTTTTCCGAAGAGCCAGGATAAGTCTGAGGGCGGCCAGCCGAGGGCACAAGACGCTGTTGCTGCTCTGTGTTGTTGTCGTTTTTTTTAGCGTCTCAGAGTAGCCCTTCTAGGAATTTATCGCGTGACCATCAGGAGCGCTTCACATGGGAGGATGTGTGTGCTAGCGGGGGGGACACACACTGCATTTTTTTTGTCAACACCTAAACGCAATCAACTCGCGCACCACCCCACCTCCTTCTTAGCCTTCCTCAGCCGCTTTCGGGCGGAGGCAAGCCTCCGAAGCACCTCCAATCCGGGGACGGTGATATCGCCTCCCCCCCGCGCGCCCTCCCCCGACGGCGGCGGCGGCAACGCCGCCGGGGTGTCGAGGGCCGAGCACACCGGCCCGTGCATTAGCGCCAAGGTCTGGTACGCCGTCCCCATCGCCGCATGTAGCGCCGTCTCGTCCACCCAGTCGCCGGACCCGCCGCCTCCTCTTCCAGCCCCATCATTCCTGACCGACCGCGCGGCAGCAGGAGAAGAAGGCGAACGGTCGAGTACCGCCGGAGAGGGCGACCGGACGGCGGCATCGACGCGATGATCAGCCCTGCTCCCGTGGCCTCGCGGGTCGGTCGTCGCGGATGGGGGGGAAATGCCGATGCCCCGGCCGAAGACCGCGGAGCGGAGCAGGCTTCGGGTGGAGGGGCGTGAGGCCTTCGGGTTTCCTGTAGCAGGCGGCGATCGAGGCGGCGGGGATATCGGTAACGTTGCCGTTAGTGGTGTTGAGGCGTTCTGACAGTCGCCGCTTTCATAGCAACAACCGCTTTCGACGTGCAAGGAAAAATGTTTCAAGAGGAACAACACGACACACCAGCCGGAGTCTCAAAAGTCCCTGCATCGCAACACAAACAGCAGGGTCGAGTTGACCGGTGTTTCACGCTTTGGGAATAGAGGCTTCGGGACAGCGGAGCACACGGCGCGGAGCGAGCAGGAAAGTTGTCAAGTACATGTACGGGCGTGTAGAAGCCATTGGCATTCGGATGTACAACAACCGACGGCGGCGCCACACGTCAACAAGTTCCCCCCGGGTAGCCGGCAAGATGAATCAACCCATGGCATAACTGGTGTGGCACAGCTTCCGCAAGGGTGCTTGCACCACCTTCTAGTTCATCCTTGTGAAAAATTTTCAGCCTGGGCCGGCGAAAACCCGGCATATAGCTCCGTCCCGGCATTGTAGGGATGCGAGGTCAACGCTCTAACGACTACGGCATGCACGGCTATGGGCACCCCCCGCTCCTACCCCCCCCGATGTTTGCGGTTGGGTTTTCGTTGTTTGGCAACGACGTTGTAAAACAAGCCACCCCGCTCGGTTTTTGCCATCGGGATTGGGTTTTCGTCGCTTGGCAACGATGTTGAAAAACAAGCCAATTCACTTCGTGAACTCGGCAACCAGGTTAACGTTTTTTTTTTTACCTCTGTTTTTTTTTTGGTGGTAACCATAATGGTGGTCGAGTAGATCATGTTGTGCGGGGTGGAGAACCCTCACTCCGCGCTGGGGGGATGATCGCACCACGTTGTGTTAAAATGGTCAAGCACCCTCGAGGCAGTTACACAGTGCTTACAACTGTCTCTGGAAGTGAAGCACCAGAAAACAAAATAAGCCATACGCAGCTGTCATCCGCATGCAAGCAAAAAAGCACAAGATGCCGAAAGCCCTTAGCAGGATGCAGCGCACCCTTCATGCGACTCGCCGAATATCTCACGGCGCTTCGCGCTTGGTGATGTTCGAGCCTGGTCCGGTGAGAACCCGGCGTGCCCCGTCCCGGCTTTGTAGGGATGCGAGGTCAATGGTCCAACGACTACGGCATGCACGACTATGAGCACACACACCCCGCTCCCCACCCCCTCTTTGTCCGTCTCTCACCAGCGTCCTCCGGCTGCTGCTCGTGTCGCCGCCGGCTGACCATTACCATCACCAGCCACACCCCCGGCTCGCACTCCAAGAAGCCGTGGCAATGCTGCCTGGTGCGCACCACCTCGACCTTCCCCGACGGCACGCTCGGCCACTCCCTCGATTCCTCTTCGCTGCCGTCGCCGCCGCCGGCAGCGGCACCATTTTCTGTAAAGTCACCAGAGACACCAGATACGGGACGTTTACTGTTTTTGCTATTGTCAGTACACAGGAACCGTTCCGGCCTGTGCTCAGTACCTCCATAGGTTTCACATGACGAGGATGCCTGCCGCGGTCACAGGCTAACTACCCAATAGACGGGTGCACCTGTTTGGCAACCAAAGAAACGGAAAACAAGCGGACTCAGAAAAAAATCCGGGGTACATATCTCCAAATCTTTTTTTTTTTTCTCCCATCATTGGACTCTGTCGTCTGCCCCTCTGGCCCCTATCCTCCACTTCTACTAGCTAGACGACCCAACCGGGGTCACTATATCTCCAAACGGTGTGAGTGCGGGACAGCTGCAACGACTTGGAACTGGAAAAAAGCAACAAATGCGAGAGACAAGCGCCGGGACGCGGCAGTTGCGGGGCCTGTTGGGAGTTGGAGTGGGACTGCTGATGGTAAGGAGGCGTGTTGGGCGTGTGAGCCTGCAGGAGACTAAACCAGATCGCCGGAAAGAGTCGAAAGCCAAGTACCAGTACATCGCTAGGCAAGACATTTACGTGGAACGCATGACACGAAACGCACACGAACGTGAGCGACTGATTTCGAGCGTTGAAAGAAGATACAGGCATGCCCGGCGTTTCGAACTTGCACGAAACTATCCAGTGGTGTGCATCCCTTACCGTGCCGTCTCCGCCGTCTCCGCCGTCTCCGCCGTCTCCGCCGCCGCTGCTGCTGCTGGTGGCGATCGTGGAAGCGGTCACCGAAGGCGAGCAGGGCCTGCGCCAGACCAACGTGCTTCACGCGCTCCGGGCGCGACGCCTCCGCGGGATAGTACCTGTTCTTGTTGTGGTTGTTGGTGTTGGTGTTGTTGTGTTTTGTGTTCAGAGACTGGACTCGCGTTGCCGCATAGAGAGAGAAATGGAAAACGAAAGGCTAACCTCGACGAGCCTCTGTGCTACAAATGTCGTGAGCCCGTGATCCCTGCGTGAGGAGCTACAGCAGTGGAGTACTTCGCGAAGCTGCATGTACACAACCATGTTTGAAAACCACGTCTTTTTGCTTTCGCGCACCAGAGTATATGCTCCAGCGCTTCATCCAGTGTCGCTCCTTCGTCTTGAGTGGCCAGATCCTCGTGAAAGAGGAAGGCGCGCGCTATCCGCTCCATGCCTGGCCGAGAAACCTCTCCCGCAACGGAGCACGTGCCGCTGTGCGTGCGGCGCGTTTTGGACGTCACGCAGAATCATGGGGGGGGGTAATATTTTCGGGGGTGAGGTGTGTGATACACGGTGCCCCGACTGTTTTTTTTTTAATGCTGTGTCTCCCTCTTTCATCATCCGGACGCAGCAAATCCGCGATCCGTGCTTTGCTGCGGCATCCGCGACAGGCAGCTTGGTCAGTGGCTGCTTGGATACAACCGGGACCTTTTTCCATCCCTCTATCGCCGAGAGAGGAGGCAAGGCGGAACAGAGAGAGAGACAGAGATAGAGAGTTAGAAAAATTGTATACACGTCAGTGAAAAGGCGAAGTAACCACGCGGCACGGACCAAGACCAGAAAAACAAAAGGCAGAGAGCGCGAACCCTCTCTCCCCAAACAAGGCCAACTTTTTTAAAATTTTGTGCGCCGACTCCCCGGGCATGCGCCGAAGCTCGAGGGAGAGGCGTGCGGCGGCGGCAGCGGCAGCGGCGGCGGCCGCGGTGGCGGAGGACGCGCCAGCACCAAGCAGCGTGCGTACTACCAACAACAATAACCGCCGAGAGACCAACAACAACACTGACGATGTGGGTTCTGGTGATGCGAGGCGCTGGAGCAGAGGCAGCGGCGGCGGCGGCGGTGGCGCTGGATCTCGCCGGGGCGGCAGGAAGAGCGGGACCAGGTCGCCGGCGTCGACGACGGGCGGCCGCCGCGGGGTCGGGGGGAGCAGCAACACCGCCGACGACTCGGAGAGCTCCTCCGAATCGGATGAGGACTACGTAGAACCACGCCAACAACAAGCCAAACGCGACGGCAGCAGCAGCAGCAGCGTCCCTCCAAGAAAAAGGGGACGGCCTTCGAAGGCTGACATGGCGGCCGCCGCCGCCGCCGCCGCCGCCACCGCCACCGCTGCCGCTACGTCGTCGCACCGATCCGCGGCGGCAGGTGGGAGACAGCCAACGGCTTCCCCGTTCACCACCCGAAAGTCCACAAGGAACAGCTCCGGAGCGGCTACCACCAACTATGCGGCCGTCGAACCCCGGCGCAAGACTCCCAAGATACCGCCGCCGCCCTTGCCCAAGGCCCCCTCGCTGAGAGCGGAGATCGTCGAGCGCGCGCTCGAGAAAACGCCGGCGCAGGCGCCCGCGCAGGCGGCGCGGGGGGGCGCGGGGGGCGGGCGGGGCGCGGGGGCGGCGGCGGCGGCGGCCGCTGCCGCTGCCGAGGCGGCGGTTGAGGCGTTGGAGCCCGAGTTTCTCGAAGATCTTCTGGCGTGCTGGGACTTCTTGCAGCTCATGAGTGTAGCCGAGACTGAGGTGTGTTGTGTGTGCTCTCTCTGTTAGGTGATCTTTGCTGCGCTCTCTGCTGCGGGCAAGCAGGATGCCCGTCGCACGATTTACTATTCTGACTTTCTTTTTGTACAAATTGTGATGGAAGTGTAGACTTTGAATGCATCGCTTTGTGCTGGTAGTGGAGCACTGATACACGAGGCTTTGCGTGGTTTGCTCCGTTGGTTGTTGTTGAAGGCAATCACCCCGTCCAGCACTCATGGCGCACCGCCGATCCTTATGCTTTGTTGTGTGCGTAGCTTTCAGTCGCGTCGAAGGATCCAACGACGACCTGAGCAGAGCATCCACACTTTACGAGGCCGTTGGGTTGCTTTCTGATCAGCGCGCGTCTGTCTCTGCGAAGTACCTGATTATTCATTCCTCTAAAGTGCATAACACCGAAGAGAGTGTTGGAACTTGCATGGTCCACCACCTTCAGCAGAAGCTAAAGATGCGAAGCATCGAATCATGTTTTGTGCTCGACGTTGGCGTGGGATGCGGATCGTGGGGTTGTCTGCTCGGGGAGCACGTTGAGAGGCTCCTGAACCGTTGCAGGGAGTAGGCCAGGCAACCGAATAAACGAAACGATGCTCTGCTCTTGGAAAGAGTGCAGCTAGATGCGTGTGCCCTTTTGGGGTGTTGGCTTGCACGCGCACACCGGCGGCTGTATCGTAAGTAGTATCCAGCTCTACCCCTTCCTAATAAAACATGTGTCGCGTCCCTATTATTGATGATACTGTGGAGCTTTCTTCGCTCGCGCCTGCCGTGCGGTGATGCACAACCAGCTCAAGACCACCCAGTTTGAGGGTTCAGAGCAGTGGACCAATCAAAAGAGTTTAATGGTGTCGTATTCGTCAAGCTTTTCCAACGTGTTGTACGAGATGTCGGTGTATGCAGTGTGCGTTGGTTTGTCCTCAAGGACATCAGTGAAGGTAGCACCTATTCACATAGTCGGAGCGACGCCGACACCGAGGTTGTGCACTGGTAACGAAGTAGATGCTAATTGAAGAAATAATTAGTACACAACCACAGCGATAGCATGAGAGCATCAACACTGCGAGGTCTTGACTGATGAGCACGACTATCGTTACCTCGTGCGCGTGGACCGTTATGGTACCCTTTGCCGCATTATATTGCATGCCCTCCACATCAACTAAAATATAGCATAATCATTTCTCGGGAACGCCCCCCCCCCCCCCCCCCCCCCCCCCCCCCCCCCCCCCCCCCCCCCCNCCTCCCCCCCCTCTGTGCCTTCTCACGCCCCTCCTCCTCCTCTTCACCATCGTTTGCCGCTGCCGTCGGCAACAGGCGTACAACGGACCGATCCCGTCGATGGTACCGGGACAACCGCCCCTACCGGAGCAGACCGATGGCAAGGGCGGGGGCGGAGGGGGGGGGGTCTTCCTGCGCCCGGTTCCGAGCCCCTTGGGGCCTAAGGGCTTCAAGGCGCCGACCCTGCCGCAGCTGTACGCGGCGGTGTCGAGTCCGGAGCAACGGGGCTGGCTCGACGCCCTGCAGGTATAGACTTGGCGCCCGCTGGGGTAGCGCTATTTTTGGTATAGGGGGTCTTAACTGGGCTCACGAAAAGTTCCCCAGTACTTACTTTTTCAAGGATTAAAAAGTAATAATAATAGATGTTAGACTCCCAAGTTCGCTGGCGCTGTGACTTCAAGGTCGCCAGGGAAAGGACAAAGCGCGCTGTGATTGCGTGATTTCTTGCTTTCTATTCGCGGTATCAGCAGGAGGCGTCCGCGTCAGTTGGACCTGCATAGATGATGTTGGAAGGTGCTGAGCACAGATCGGAATGCCTTCGGCCACGGCGGCTGACACGGCGCCTTTCTACGAAACCAACAACATTGCAGGTCCGGCTTGTGGACATGGTTCAAGACCAGATGGTGTCCAGCCTCGACGAACGGGAGGCTGCCGCGACGACCAGGCCGAATTCGGTGAGGGCAGGGGGAGTCGTCAGTCTCGTGCTGCCGCTGGCTTGTGCAGGAAAGGGGAACGACGCACTGGAATCGATCAGAGTTGGCCGTTGCAGTCGTCGTGAGTGAGAACGGGCGGGCGGGAGGAGTCTTGAGGCTAGTGCTGCCGCTGGTTTGTGTAGGAAAGGGGAAAAAAAACCCCGAGGCACCCGCACTGGAGCCGATCAGAGTTGCTCGTCGTAATTGTTGTGGGCGAGCGAAGAAAAGGGCTGCCTCGCGTGTAGCAGCGGACCCAGCCAAATTGGACGACTCTCCTAATGGGGCGGGCACGGGAAGGGGGGGATATGCGAACTTGCCAAGTTATACTGCTATGGTTGTCGCTGTTGTGGTTGTTGTTGTCGTCGTCGTTGTCGTTGCTGTTGTTGTTGTTGCTGTTGCTGTTGTTGTTGTTGTTGTTGTTGTTGTTGTTGTTGTTGTTGTTGTTGTTGTTGTTGTTGTTGTTGTTGTTGTTGTTGTTGTTGTTGTTGTTGTTGTTGTCGTCGTCATCGTCGTCGTCGTCGTCGTCGTCGTCGTTGCTGTTGTTGTTGCTGTTGACGTCGTCGTCGTCGTCGTCGTCGTCGTCGTCGTTGTTGTTGTTGTTGTTGTTGACGTCGTCGTCGTCGTTGTTGTTATTGCTCACAACAGCAGCAAGCCAAAAGAGCTCACACGCGCTGGAACCGCTGTGCCTTCATCTTTGCGACCTTCCCCCGCCGGCTTCCTCCGTTTCCACGCAGCTCACCTGGCCAGAGTTCGCCCGCCAAGCGGTGTCGGCCCTCTTGCTGAACTGGGCAGAGCAGGACGCAATATTCGGCGACACTTCAGGAGCACCCTCCCAATCGCAGGTCAGGGCTTTTGTACCGCGGTCTGCCTTGAGTTGGACCCTGGAGCTGTTGTTACTGTTTAAACGCTAGTGTAGCCCCCCCCCCCCCCCCCCCCCCCCCCCCCCCCCCCCCCCCCCCCCCCCCCCCCCCCCCCCCCCCCCCCCNAACGATTTCGTTTTGAACAGCAAATTCCCCTTCCCGGCTATACCAGATGTCAACACCCAGGCTCGAAACTTCCCGGTGCAACCCCGGCGACGAATAACACCCCGCCAAGCACGGGTACGAGCAAGCGGCGTTATTTTTTTGCGATGTCTGTTGTGAAGTACGGTGGGGACAAGGAATAGACGAGTGTCTCGCGTGTGCACGCTGCGTTGAAATTTGCTTTGTCATCAAGTATGGTGATGGCAGCAATCCACACTGAAGAAGGTGTTGTCTTCCGCCGTTCCGCAGGCGGCGCAGGGGAGAGCGGCGAGGAAGAAGCTTGGGAAAGGCGGCGGGAAGATCGAGCCGCACCACCTGTCGCCCGCGTGCGTGTGGCTCGACGCTCAGCACGACGCGACCCACGGGGCGAGGTACATCGAGAGCATCACAGGTTAGCCCGCCTTTTTTTTGATCCAATGATAGGGGGTTGGTCCACTGTGTAGACCGCCGAAGGTGGAGGGGTAGGAGCGGGCGGCGTGCGTGGTTGATGGTCAGCACAGCGGCATCGTTGCAGCTAGCGCGTGTCTCTCCATTTTTGCGGTGTGTGCAGGTCGTACCCCTGCGTCGTCGTGGCCTACGCCGACACAAGTGTGTTTCTACAATTGTTTCTCCGATAAGATCCCCGTTTCTTCCAGATGCGGTGTTTGCTCTGTGTGTTTTGTGCGCGCCCGAGCAAGCTGGCGATGACGCCTTTGGAGAGATTGACAACCGGTATACAATGAGCGCCTTTGACAAACTCGCTTTGTTCGCTCTCTCTCGGCCTTGTTCTGTCCCCCCCGCGCCTGTGCTCCCACCGCCGTTTGTGCTCCCGCTCGCGCACGCCTTCGCTGTGGGGGCCCGAACTCACGTCTTGCCGCGATCCTTATCCTTATCATTATCCTTTGCGGCCTTGGTTTCTCTGCGAGAAGGCAACGCGGACAACCCGCCGCCTGCCAAGAAGGAGGTCAAGTCTCCGCTCCCGCCGTCGGGGTCGGGCAAGCCCCCCCCGGACGGAGGCAAGAAAGGGGAGCCCACAGATGGAGAAGGAGGGGGAGGTGACGCGGCCGCGGCGGCGGCGATCGCCGGGGAGGAGCCGCCAAAGGCAGCGGAAGGGGAGCCGAAGGCCGAGGCGGCGGCGGTGGCTTCGCCTTGGGCAGGAGCGGCGGCGAAGAAGAAGCAGCAGCAGCTGCAACTTGCGAACGGAGGCGGATTCAAGAGCGCCGCCCCGTTCGTCTTGTCCTCCCCGCCCGCCGCGGCCCCGGAGGCGGGGACGGTATTGGCGCCGGAGAGCTCGAAGAAGCCGTTGCCGTCCTCGGCAACCACAGCGATAGCAACAAAAGCGGAAGCAACAGGGACAAGAGCAAAGGCGGAAGCAACAGGCACAAGAGCAAAGGCGGAAGCAAGAGCAGGAGTGGAAGCAGCAGAAGAAGCTGCTGCTGCTGCGTCGCCGGCCCCGACGGTAGCCGTCACCAAGGACAAGAGCGCGGCAGGAGCTCTGACGCCGGCGAGGGCATTACTGGGGACGTCGGCCCGCGTAGCAGCGCTGGCGCGAGCGGCGGAGACAGCGGCGAAGGCGGCGGCGGAAAAGGCAGCGGCGGAAAAGGCCGCCGCCGCGATTGGGGCGGCGAAGGACGCTGCCGCTGCCGCTCAGAGGTTGCAGCTGGAGGCGGCAGAGGCGGCGGCGCGGCGGGAGACAGGGGGGGTGCTAGGGGGAGAGGCGGCGGCGGCGGCGGGGCTGGACGAGGATGAGGAGGACACGCCGGAGAGGAACCCCGGGCCGGACGCGGCGGTGCTGAGGGCCATCAAGCTGCGACTGGAGCAGTGGCGGAAGGACAACACAAAGCGCGTGGAACAGGTGAGCATGACGGCGTTTGTCTTGCAACGGGCGTTTTCGGGAAAGATCGCTCGCTTCCAATTTTGGGTGTAGGTTGGGTTGGATGAGAGGTGGGTTCGTTTGCATGTTACCGCCCGCCCTTTGCGTTCCTCCCTACGAAAGAGGTGAGAGTTGTAATGATCACGGCGGCGTGTGCCCATCGGTGGAACGACGATTTGTTTATACCCGAGTAATGACGCCGGTTGTAGCAGATATTGACCATAAACAACTGTCAGGATGCTCTGGTGTGGTTTTATGGTTGTCTGCGGCGTTCGTTTTTGCGGTGCGGTTGTCCACTCACTGTACACGCGTTTGACCACATCAGAGTCTCAAGCGGTACACTACCCCCGCCCCTCTCCCCCCATAGGGTGATCCTTGCAAAGGGCAGGAGGTTGTGAACATAGTGTTTGCCGTCAGAAACAGGCAAAACATGACATGTTCGTCAAGAGCCGTCACTTGCTGTTGTCGGAAGTGTTCATGAAAGGACCAAAACGGTGCCTGTGTCCCTTGTCCAATAATGAACACAAGCAATAAATGCCCCCCCCCCCACTACACACGCGTTTGGGAATCCTCCCTCTAAAGTAGTTCTTCATTGACACAGTTCATTCACCTTGAGGTTTACGTCATTTTCCTGCAGGAAAACCTGGCCAGGATTGCTCGCTACGGTGTGGCGGGCGGCGGCGACTCGAGGTTTGGAGGGCAGCTGTCCAGCGTGCTCGGGTTACAGATGCCTAGCGCTGCCGCCGGCACTGCATCGAAGTACGGAGCTCAGAACATCCGGAGGTGAGAGGGGCGTTTTTGTGGCAATATATTTTCATAAACGATCGTAATGGTTAGATTCTGTGCGTGGGTTTACATGCGGAGGTGAGAGGGGCGTTTTTGTAGCAATGTATTTTCATAAACGATCGTAATGGTTAGATTCTGTGCGTGGGTTTACATGCGGAGGTGAGAGGGGCGTTTTTGTAGCAATATATGCATAAACGACCGGGTGGGTGGATTCGGTGGGTGGGTGTGGATGGTCAGGCGATGGTCAGGCGCCATGAGGGTCGCACACCAAGCTTTTTTGTCTGTTGTGACCCCCCGTGGTTCGTGGCACCGTGGTGAGATGGAGGTTGTTGCTTGCTAGATACTGGTACCTGTTTGCTGCTGCAGTTGCGAGACTGCTGTGCAATTGGTCGATGTGCCTTGGATGCAGTTCTGCTACTCACTCGACCCTAGTAGGGGATGGCGGGTAGGCGTCAGTACAATTGAGGATAAGGAGGCTTTTCGCCCCCCTACGTTGACGATTTTTCGAAGCTCGGTAGGTGGAGCCACAGATGCTGCTGTTGCCGGCATTGTTGGGTGGTCGGCGCCCGACGCCCTACATCAAGTGCCTACAGGCGAAGCGAGCTAGCGTACCACTGGCGTTCGCTCCAAATGTATGTATACCAACAACACACAATCCTTTCCTTTCTCTCCTCTCTCTCTCTCCTTTCTCTCCTCTCTCTCTCTCCTTTCTCTCCTCTCTCTCTCTCCTTTCTCTCCTCTCTCTCTCTCCTTTCTCTCTCNCTCTCTCTCTCTCTCTCTCTCTCTCTCTATCATGCTCTCTCTCTCTGCATTTTGTGCACCCCTCCCGCGCGTGACCGTTACCCCCTCCCGCCACACATGCCCAACCAACCCATGATAGGTTCTTGGCCCACGTACACGCCATTTCCATCGCCCCCCCCTGGGTAGCGGCCCTGCTGACGGCCATGCGCGTACCGACCAAAAACGCCGTTCAGGTCAAAAAGGTCATCCAGGCGAGTACGGTGTGGTAGCCGTTGTACGTTTTGTTTTTTTTTGAAAATAGGCATACATACAATCACAGAAAAAAGACTGCCCGTTCGAGGTATAACCAGTCTTGTATTTAGGACATCGACCGCGGTAGCAGGGTTGCCCGTGAGAAAGGACTCAAGTGTGACAAGAGCGATAAATACTTTTATATGCCATCGTTTTAGGCTCCGTAAGGGGGGATAGGTGTGTGTTTGTATGTTTGTCCTTTATGTGGAATTCCTACAGACCTTGCCCTCCTTCCCGCTCGAAGGTTCCAGCCCCCCCCCCCCCCCNACAGACCTTGCCCTCCTTCCCGCTCGAAGGTTCCAGCCCCCCCCCCGCACCACCCCACCCCCCCAGCCTGCTTCCGCCACCAAAACGAAACTTCGCGACAACCTCTACTTGATTGCTCGCTCGGCCATTGACGGGGGCGTCCGACAAGTGTGTCTGTGTTTTTTTTTCTGTTTTGTTCTCGTTGAACGTGTTTCTTTCTCTTCCGTCTCTTGTCGGCAGGAAGCGATCGAGGTGAACAAGGGGCTGTCCACCCCGAAGCCTGTCCTGGAGGCCATGGCCAGGTCCATCAGCCCCGACATCTACAAGAGCTTCACGGCTCGATACACGAAGGACATCGCTCTCGAGGTGAGGGGTGCGGGGAGCATTTTAGTAGTTTGCATGCAATCAAGGAAAATGAAAATCTTTCTTGAAAATGATAAAAACTTGGTTCAGTTTTTCTTCGGCCGCAGTGCTAAGCCCGATGAGAAAGTTGGTTCTGTTTCTATTTGGCCGCAGTAGTAGCGCCAACACCAGTGTCACCGCTCAATACATCTGCGTAAACAGCGGCGACGGTGCCACTGCTTTTGTCAAGTCACCGATTGTGCCGATCGCCGGGGACTTCGTGTGGCCAATCCCGACGTTTCTCTGGGGAACCCGCGCTTCCTGCAGTACGTATGGGCGGCACTGGTCGCCACGGAGGGCCGAGCATCACGACAAATTCGCATATTTTTGTCGTTGTACATAAGGAGCGAACCGCCCGCCCCACGGGCCCAAACACGCCTCCTCTCTCGCTATCTCAATTTCTAGGCCCTCATCGATCACCTCATGGACACGCCGTCCGATGCCCCTGTTGCTATCTCAACTTCTAGGCTATCATCGATCACCTCACAGACCGCCGGTCCCGATGATCCCTCTTGTTATCTCATACCCCGACCCTACCCCGACCCACACATGCCTCCCTCTTAAGGCTCTCGTCGATCACTTGATAGACAACCCTTCTGATGTCGTCGGGCTTGAGCTCGGCCCCGGCGACGAACCCCTCCTACCGGGCACCCTGCTGCCAATGCGCGGGGTCCGGGCCACAGACAATCCACCACCCACCTTCTCCTCCGGGGGGGGGGGGGGGG